ATTTTTTCATGCTGGGGAGCAAAACATTACATGTTGCATTCCTGACATTATTTGGTATGCACGGATACTTGACTCTCATTAATGCTGCTTGTGATTTATATTAGTATTTTTAAGTTTTAAATTTTATATCAGTTATTATTTTACACTTTGTAAATTCTTTTTGACTTAATTGTCTTTCAGATTTTTAAAATAGATCTTTTTGGCAACACTGCATTTTTTCTGTTGCACTCCTGACATGGTATAACATTTTCTTCAACATCAACCATGACCACAACTTGCAATTATGACCACAACTTGCAATTATGACCACAACTTGCAATTTGTCAAAAAAAGTTCCTGCAGTCTACATTTAAGGCTCGATACTTTGAATGTGATCAGGAAAGTCTTTATTTCCAACATAAACCATTATTATTTATTTCACAGATTTTCAAAAAAAAAAAAAAAAAAAGAAAATTTCAAAATGTCACAAAAAGGTGTTGCTCTCTTGATATTTTTAGCATCATTTTTTGGGCATAACTTTTTTGTAAATTGAGATATCAATGAGATATTTGGCAGGTACATGTATTGAGAACTTTATAAAGACATATAAATAGACATACATTAATTGATAGATTGTATGTTGTTTCACGTCCCGTTCGAGAATTTCTCACTCATATAGAGACGTCGCCATATACCGGTGAAGGGCTTCAAATTTACACCTTTACTCGGCACTCAGAGCCATTGAGCAGTGAGGGATCTTTATAGTGCCAACACCTACCATGACATGGGACCCCAGGTTTCAAGGTCTCATCCGAAGGACCCGCAACTTTCACTTCAAAGTGCCGAGCGCCTGGCGAAGGAACAGTTGCTACCTATTTTTATCAACTTAGGTCAGTAGCGGCCGTGATTCGAACACACGACCTTCCGATCACGGAGCGAGCGCTCCACCGACTGAGCTATCATGACGACTGAGACATAGAAATTTATTCCCATTCCCTGTATTTTTAGTGCAGGTTGCTAAATATGTGATTGGTCTCTTTTTTTAATTCACCCATATAAGATATCTTAAAGACACATACTCTGAGTAATCTACAAGAGTTCTACTGTTACATATACACTGATTACAATGTTTTTCGAACAAAATATTACTTTTTTTTATTAAGGATTTCAAATCTATATTGTCACAGATAGTCGAGTGCAATTCACTTTACTTTTCTAGGATAAAATACATAGTCATGTGACGTATAACTTAAAACTTTTTCCAAATAATTGAAATATTCAAGAAGGTTTGATGCTGCTATCAAAAGTATTAAGAATATTTTTATCAGGTATATTTTTAGAATCTACACACATAGCTTATTAAATTATCTATCAGAACAAGAAAGTTGGTCAATGTGCTTCTTTTGGCGCCACGGAGCATTTAAAAAAACCTTTTTTCACTGTAATTAACATGAATTACGTCTAACAAATCAATCAATTTTTCGATGTTTTTCCTTCAATATTTTTTTTATCCAAATAAATCATTTTCCAAATACTGTCTAATTTTATCTTGAAAAGACACACTAAATTTTTTTTCTGGCATTAAAGATTTAATAAGCAAAATCATTTTTAAAGATTTTGTTGAGTTTCAGCAGAATGGTTAAAATTATTTTGTATATTCAGAAAAGAAAATTTAAAGAGGGGGTCTATGCTGTAATTTTTTTTAGGTATTTAAAATAAAATAGTGTTAATTCTTTAGCTTAAAGTGAGGCTATTTCTTTTGGAAAAATATTTTTTTGCCACAATATGATGATATAATTCTCATGACAGTTAATTTAATAAATAATCTTAGACCAGCATTAAACATTTCACTTCACAAAATAACTCTGTGTGCAACCTGCATGGAAAAATAGGAATCAAAATTTAATAGTACTGTAAAGACTTCTAAAGAGAAACCTTAATAATTTTCTTCTAAAAAAAACCTTCCGTCACAAAATATAGTTCCTCACTTAGTGTTGCTTTCGGTATAGCATTGAATCGTGGGATTTTAATTGAATATAGTTGAAGTGATATTGTAGAATCCATATTTATTGTAAAGAACTGAAATAATATGCAGATTTTTTGAAATAGAGATCCAGACAAAAATCTGCTCAAAAACTGAGGAGCGAACCTTTTTAATAACAATGACATGAACAAATATACAAGATCCCTTGTTGTTTGCCCCAAAACTTTCCAGTCATGCCGCCGGTTCCGTCCACTCCACTGGCTGGAGGATGGACCCTACGGCCAAAGGGTGGCCTCTCTACTACACTATGATTGGAGTGCGGACTCAAGGCATTTGGTGGCCTCACCACTATATATGAATTTAAAGTATGGGTGGATGGAACATTGAAATATTCATAATTTTGAAATATATATTTTGTAAATTACACCTATGTGCTAATATTAGCAGTGCCTGTCAGAAAATATTGGAAAATATATATAACATTAAAATACAAGTGCACAATTAGTAATCTTATTTTCTGAAAATAACTGTCTCTGCATAAACGAGGAATACAAATACTTTGCAACCTGATGAGGATAATTTGAAATCAGTATAGATAATGAATCTTTATTTGACCATACTTGCAGTGTTTTCAAAAAGTTTTGACCGATATTCAAAGCAAAAAAGACAGTGCAATAAAAATGACTTTCATCTTCTTCACTATTTCCAGAGCAAAAGGTACAAATTTTATCTTCAATAGGTTTGCCGTGACATCCGCCAGTCTCTATTCGTAATGGTCAATTATTTCCAATTCTGAATTGCGCCAAAATTGAACATGTATAAATCTGGTCGAATGACACCTTTTATCTGATCGGCTGTTCTTCTGGAAATTAATTTAGAAATAAAGTGTCGTTGTTTCAATTTTGGACTTATCATATGCTCCTTAGAAATTTGGAATTTTAGGAAAAAAATATCTACAGCCTTGTTTATTTAAAATACTGAACACAATAACAACAATTATGTAAATAGTTTCATTTATGTGTTGAATGCTGTTTAGTTTTCTTTTGTTTAAATGTAAGTAAGTAAATATTGTATTTTGTATTGTTTTAAATCTCAATATTTTGATTTTTCTTCATTGGCTTGAATTCTCCCATGCCTTGCAGGTGTCAGGTGCACGTTATGCAATTTCCCCATTTCTTCAGTTTCGGCTACTTGTAACACAACTCCAAAAATTTCCATGGTCAAACCTTACCCCTATGTAAGCTAATAGCCAATCAGAAATTACCATCATGGTCACGTGTTTTGATGCTGTCGGTAGCTGACCAGTCAGCGTTGGGTCATTCTCGCCTCATCTATGCTACTGATAACAACAAAAAATTTGGCACACCCACCACCACCCCAGTCTTTCCTACCTTATTTTGCATTTATATATTTTAATTTTACTGGCATATTTATTTTTGATGTGCCATCTTTTTGCTGTATACTTACTGTTTTTTATATTTTTTGCAAATATTGCTTATCTGTAAATTTAGGGGATCAGCATATTGACATGTATTGTGTGAATACCTTTTGGTCTGATCCCCTATCATGTTTATGTATATATATTTCTTATTTTCGTCATTTTTAATAAATGACATATTTCATCTCAACATGGTGTTGATTTCATTGATTATAACTCAGCAAAAACAGAGCTGCGGTGAGTTTGTGCAGCATGAGGAAACATAAATAAGTTGTTGTAAGCACATTTTAAGCGATATTGAGAGTTGAAATTCAAATGCGGCGCCATGCATCTGTGACGTCATATGCAAGATAGCATTGTGTCTGCGTAATAGGATCAGTCCTAAAGTATACAACTTGACTCATCAAGAGCCACACCCACAGCAACCTGGGTGGGACTGACGGGTGGACACGTAATCCTCTGGTATCCTGATGACGCAACAGAATTCTAATCAAACTTCAACTTACATGTAAATCTCGTTTAATTTCTTAATTCTGTTACGTCATCATACCAAGGGAATCACGTGAGATTTTAAAGGCTTGATGTGTCAAGTTGACTTATTGTCAAATACACCAGATCCCTTCAAACTTCATATTATAGCATTTACATTAAAACATGTAAAAAAAAATTATCATTTTATAAAATATGAAAATCAGTTTCAAATGTTATTCATTTATTACACAACTAATGTATATATATATATATATATATATATATATATATATATATATATATATATATATATATATATATATATATATATATATATATATATATATATATATATATGACCTGTGCTTGCCCACGTCATAATCACAAATGTACCAATACTCTTGATCTTACATCTAAAATTCATAGAATTTGAAGGGAATTCGAAAATTATCCTTTTTTCACTTAACTGTAGAAAATTAATTATTAGGAATAATTCAATAGATACCCAAGTTACAGTTGAATAACCTGAGTTAAAACATTTTATTATAAGCTATTTTATAAAGCGCTTAGCGTTTTTTTTTTTCGTGGATTTACCCCAATAATTGTTTTTACACTTGCCCTGAAATCGCTGGGGATTCCTCATAATCTCTTCGTCAGTCTCTTCAACTTCGTTATCCAGACTTTCTTCCCTATCCGTTTTTATAGATTGAGCTGATTTTTAGCGAGTCTTACTCTATCGTAATGAGTACAGATCATGTTTGCATATCGTTCCTTTGCAGTGATATTTGATGGAATGACGGCACATGCAACAATCTCCGAATGTTTATTTTTCCTCTTATTCAATAATGAAAAAAGTTTATAACTTTCCTAAAACTTTTTGCGTTATTCAATTTTGAGCATTTTTTAAATATCTGAATGAAACATCATATTGCGACTGCATTCATGGATTCTAACTGCATTCTTATTTAAATGTTACTTTCATGCAACGTTTAAAGCTGATTCTATTTCCAATGTCTCCTTGTTGGTTTATTTTTAACACAGAAATCTATTTGGTTGCATTGCAAACAATGGAGTTGGGCTAATGTTAAACATTTTGTAACTGTACATTTGTATTTTTATTTTCAGATCATGGCGAATGTCGCGAAAACTTACACACCAAAAACTGCCCAAGAACTAAAAGAAGCGCTTGAAAAATGCCTGAAAGAAAAAAAAGTTCCCGTTTTCCTCAGTAGGAAAAATGTGAACGAGAAAAGCCTTATAGATGACGAGGAGTTAAAGGACATCGAAGTAGCTTTCATAGATGTGGAAAAGCTCAAACAAAAGGTTAAAAAGTTCCTATGTTTTGATTTTTTTTTGGGGGGGGGGGGAGATATCAACATGTACAGGTAATTCGATATTCAGTTCTTAAAACCCATCTGTTTATTATTTCATATTTATTATTTATTTTGAAACCTTGCTTTCATATACTTATCCTTTCAAAATACAAAACGTTGAAATCCATCCATTTTAATACCCACTCTCCTTCATTAATACCTTATTTGAATATTCTATACTGTGTCTTTGAATGTTTATTGAACTCAGCAATTTTTTTTATCAACCGCCTATATAATTGTTTATAATCTATCTCTAAACACAGGCAATTATATATATTCATCAATTCAACATTCATACTAAGGAACTATTGGTCAGCAAATATTCAAAGATTATGTACCTGTATAAGTCTCTGAAAAAGCGATAGCAATCAATCAATCGAGGAAGAACGTCTGTCAAAGTACTTTTAAATGAAATATGGAGATAAGGAACAGTATTCGAGCTCAAAGTCCATTAAAACATTACAAATCGGGAGCAGAGCAAACAGGGACCACCAAAAACATCAGAGTCGGGATCAGTGCCATGGAGGAGTCAGCATCCCTTGCCGACCGGACACACCCGCCGTGTGCTCCTTGTCATGATCGGAAAATAACGGAAAAATCCGTCGACAATTCAGTGTGTAAATAATGGCCTAACAATTAGTATGAAAAAAGTCTGTCAGCATTTGACTTAATGATAGGTTGTATTTGCTGACAATTAAGGTCATTGTATCGACCATAGAACTTACGAAATTATGAAATGATGACTTCAAACGAGACTGTTGTTAATCTTGTTTCATACACTTGTTTGTCAATAACTTACCTCGTTTTAGAAATTGTTCATACGTAGAGCATGCTCTCACGTATCGAATCAGCTGAGAGATATACATATACACCCTTTATGCAGGTGATAAGGTTATATTGCTGCCTTATTAAGGGAAGTTGACAATTGAAAAGTTAAAGTCATGACGTTTATCATATATATATATATATATATATATATATATATATATATATATATATATATATATATATATATATATATATATATATATATATATATATATATATATATATATATAAAGCTCTGTTGTTAGATTACCATTAACGTCTTTTTCTAGTAAAATATCCAAATGTGTCAAACTCTGTGGTATCTTTTATTTCAAGCCCAGTGGGATATATTGTGTTGACATGGATGGAAAAAAAACTATTGCGTCCTCGATATATCTGAATGTCGAGTTAAAGGCCACAGCAAGAGATTTCTATTTTTCATGTATAGGATTTTGAATAAATTCTGCTTCATATGAATACAAAAAAAGGTCTACTTACAACGAGGCGCAATTGGTACCCATGGGAATTCCAACAGATTGTTGGAAGACCTGGTCTCCAAAAACCACATTGATATTGTCAATCTGAAACTCAAGCATCTTTTATATCATCTTCAGAGTACTTGTGTGTACAATCAGATTGTTTTAACAAAATAATTTTGCAAATGACCAATGACAAGGTAAGTAAATTTTACGAGTTTCATTTTTATTGAAAAAGCAGCTGTCAATGATGTTAAAAATTAAGCCTGGACTTTAATTTATCGTGGGGAATACTTGTATCCAGAGTTGAAAATTCGTACGTTTTTTATGTTATTGATTTTGGTAAAATGTTGTGATTTCAAATTTTTCAAAAGTTCCTTGAAATTTTTAAGTATCCAAATCTGATTTACAACACTTCTCGAATAAATTGTTGCACAGTACTCCTGAAGTTTCTCTTTCACGGCTGTTAATATTTTAGTGAGGAGTAAATAAAGAGGCTTGGTAGAAAATTTACTTGAAACCGCTATGTATCTTTGTTTGGAAGGATTTTTATGAAGTTTCGGAATCCAATATAAATATGGTAATTCAAATTAATTTTGGTTATTGGGAATATTAAAAATATTCAAAACTGACATACAATTTTGAAGAATTTACTTCTTAGGAACGGAACTATGGGTATAAGCTGGATAAAGGATTCGTGTTTTACCTTTAAAAAAGTTTTTGTGCGGGGACAGTTTTATGGGAGCTAGGCAAAATGCGATTTTTTTTTTAGATTAATAAAACTTTTGATTAATTTGATATTGAAAGCACACTTCGATAAAGAAATTAAACTCGATGATAAGGTAAGTCAAGAATTGGCTTAATTCTAAACTTAACCCCCCCCCCCCCTTCCCCTCTAAAATGTGCTGTATGAAGCAAAATGTCTTTGTGATGTTTCAAAATTCAAGTTTAATAATTCTTAATTAGATTATACAAAGTAACTCTTAACTTTCACAATTGTTTACATGACATCATTTTGACAATTCTGGTAAAATACTGAACTCGCTTCATTCTCCAGCATTTGTTGCAATATTTAACTTTCTTCGACTTGTGATGGTGCATGAATTTACAATTTATTTATTTGTTTTAGGAAGAAGTGGGCGAATCTCCGACAGCAACTGAAGCGATGGGTGTAAACGAAGGTACTGTACATGTACATGTATTGAAAAGACTCTTGGGTAATCTTTTCACTTTCTGCCATGTGAACTTTGAAGAATTGAAAGAGCATTTGTGTCTTATAATGTCAAAGCTCTGTATTTTTTATTCGTTGGCAGAACGTCAGAATCGAGTCCAATTCTTTAAAGCTGTCTTAAGTATGATTTATTCTAATTTTGTGTGATTTAATCTCTACTTTGTTATGAGTATACTTAAATATGAGAAATAATTCCTCTGGTATAAATTTGATCTGTTCAAAAGGAGGTGTTGTACATATTCGTTTTTTAATTTCTTTGATGTTATCAATTTGTTTTTGCTTTCTTCATGCAGAAACAATGCAAGAGCTTCAAGCATTAGTTGGAGCCACGCCAATTTTTCGAATTGAAAAATTTCAAAACTGGGCAGCAACACAAGAAAGTTGTGTCATTTCTTGTAATCCTAAAACGAGAGATGAAATGACCAAGGTCATTAAAGCTGCCTCTGAGGTGAAAGTAGGCATAAGATGTGCTGGCCAGCGTCACAGCTGGGCACCAGTCTTCCCTGACGACAACCAGATTTGCATCAATGTTGAGGACATGATAAGTGATTATGGATGGATCCAAAATTCGAATTGCCGAGGTAAGTTTAAGTAATAAAAGATAAATAACTCTTAAAGCAATTTTTTATTACAATTTGTATGAATAACGTATAATTGGTCACAAGAGAGAAATTTCCTTCATTTTCCGATATAATTGTTTTCCTGGTAGGAAGAAAAAAGAGAGGTTGATGTTATGACTGGAGCCACAACTGGGGATTTGAAGAAATTTCAGTTGAAGCATAAGATGAACCTTAAAACAAATGTCATACTTGATGTGGTTCAAATGGTCAGTGTCGTTGTTACGGGATGTCACGTGAGTATTAGTCATTTTTAATTTTGTGCACAAAGATTACTTCATGCTCTGCGGCTGTGTAACGCAATGATTGTTTATTTATTTATCATTTATTTTTTTTAAGTATATATAAAAATATTTCAATGCGGTCATATTTATAGGTCTGCTCATTTCAACTTCACTAAGGAAGTGTTGAGGAGATTGCACTGTGCTATGAGACTAGATGGACTAAAAAGAAAAATTTTGAATTTTTATCACCATTTAACGATTAATCATGTAATATAAGATTTATAAGCACTAACAATAGAACAAGATTGATATTCCATTTACATGTGAAAATTGCACGCCTATGTTATACAAAACAATCATTTTTTTCTTATTTGATACATTTTGTAAGGAGTTTAATTTTCCTTTGCACTTATCTGTTGTCTATATTCTTGCTTGAAATTGAAAACAATATTGTAAGATATATATATATATATATATATATATATATATATATATATATATATATATATATATATATATATATATATATATATATATATATATATATATATATATAGTCCATAAGAACAATGCAAAAGAGCTAATATAGGGGTTTGAACAATTAGACAAGTCTATTTTTAACTTTTTAACTTTATTATTATAGTAATTTTTAGAATATGAAAAAAAAAATCATCTTTTAACCCTGCAGTAAACATTTTAGGGAGTTGGCGAGGACACACACTGTTTAAGTGATTACGTGGTCAGAATGAGAGTATTTGACTCAAAAGGCGATCTTAAAACATACTGCATAAATGATGATCCAAAAGAGCGGTTCAGAGCAATGTCAGCAAGCTTTGGCTGTTTTGGAATTGTTTATGACGTCACATTGAAAGTAAGTAAAGCAAGAAACCCAAGGGCCACAACACTCTTAGTTTTATTATGTCAATAAATTTTATCTACATTAAAACTTTTGTGTCTATAAAAAATGATTCAAGTAACTGTACCTCGTCTGTTTTGGGAAGCAAGATATTTAGGTCATCTGACTCATCTGAGTTGTTGTCTTAACATTTGAACCATTTCAGCGTCTTCTCTGGGATTTCTAATTCAATTTCATTCTAATGTAGTAAAATAGCATTTATGAGCAAAGGGGAACAAAAATTGTAAATTTTATGATATCTGCCCCCTCCCCCTCCCTGAGGGGTTCGGGAACAAACATCGTCAAAATTAATGCAGTCATAAAAAATTATTTTTTACTCCTGGATATAAATCAGTAAAATAATGACATTATTTTAATAAGCATAGAGCTTTTTACTAAAATTGTGAAATTCATAGCCCCAGAGTCAGATGGTCTTCTTGTTGTGGTGGGGCTAAATAGATGATTTTATAAAATGCATAACTTCTTTGAAAATTTCAGTGCTCCTGGATATATAACAGACAAATTCAAATCGTCCAAGAGACCATCAGGCCCCTACTCTGCACACCCTATCCCCCTTCTTTTCAATAATTTTGCCAGTTAATACTTTAAAATATAAAACAAAACAATTTTACAGTTTTAAAACCTAAATAAATTTGTCAGTATATACTATACAATAGATATTAAAGTTGTCTTACGGGTGTGTCCCTCTAAAGTAACTTCTTTTGCTTGTACAGAGTTTCTGATAGGTTGTGCCCTAAATAAGAAATTAACCCCTAACGGCCTGACTCTGGTTCAAAATGCCTTTTCTCTACTGGTTTTATTTGAAACGTTACAATGTATATGTCTATTTTTATTCACATTGTATTCTCAAGAGGAAAGAATTTGCCCCGTAATTTCCCAAGTCAGAATTTGATATCTTATTGTGGCCATGCTATACAACCAGGATGCGTAATTTGCACAAAATTAAATCGTCACTAAAAGAATTGCTTGCAGCCCTTTTCTTTTTGAAAAAAAAATATGTTTAATATTTTACCATATTATTGTCATCTTTGACGCCGAACTGTGGCATCATCCTAGCGTCAGTGTTTATTATTTGAACAGGAAGCGTTAATATGGTCTTGGGAGCAGAATACCTATAATAGGTATTTTTTTAAAAGAAATAATATATTTCAAAAATTCTAGTCTTACACAATCCATTCGTATCAAACGGTAGGAAAAATTATTCCTTACTTTGTTACAAAGTTCAATTTTTTAGATGGGGATATACATGAAATTAAAAAAAAAAAGAAACTTTTTTTCAATTGAAACAGTACAGCATTAAATTAATATATTAAACACATGAAATCCCAGGTCCTATTGATAACTTTTTTTCAAGCAGTATTCATAGGGTCAGGGTATGGTAGGACTAAAATTAAGGGTGAAATATTTACATTAAACATGCATGCAGGAAAAAAAAACTCCTTCTGTAAAGCCTAAAGACCATTTTACTGAAAATTGATTTTTTTTTTGGGGGGGGGGGGGGGCATCCCGATATACTAGACAGGTTTTCAAATTTGGTAAAGTCATTACCCATGGCGTCACATTGGACAGGGATCATTATTTGGTTTGAAATATTTTAGAGAAAAAAAGATGAAAAAACTTTTTAAAGTCTTCTCTGAAAAATTGCAAAGCCAAACAAACTACAGTTAGCGTCGTGTTCGATGGATTTTTTTTGATAGACCTTTGTAAAGATAAACTTACAAAGAACGCTTGTTTAATTCCACATTTGATCTTCATACATTGTAGATGGACAAAGAATTGATAATTAAAACAGACAATTCCTATAAACCTCTGAAGGATGTTTTCAAAACCACAGAATTAAAAAACATAGTCACGAAAAACTGGGCAGTACAGATTTTCTGGTTTCCTTTCAACGCTTTTCCTTTCGGAAAATACGATCTCGAAGAAGATGATGTTTGGGTGAGAACATTCAACAAGGAGACCTTGTCTGATGAAGAGAATGTAAAAGGGAAATTATATTACGCTTTGAAAGCTGTCTCTGATTATGGAACCGAGGAAGGACTCAGGATTGTTAGCCCTTATCTGACAGAATATCCGAAACTCGTACCGATCTTCCAGAAATCAGCTTTTTCTGCCATTAAACACTTGTTTTATCCAGAAGGACCGATTTACCAAGAACTCCCCCATGCAGTGCATTTCCGGTGAGCTTCTTTCATAGATCTTAAATGCGGCATAAAACATGCCGTTTTGCACTGTTTTTCTTTATGATTTGATGTATATGTTTTTTTTTTATAGAAAATACATAGAAAAAGCAGAGGTTTATGATTTGGAATTTGTATTTGACTACCACGACGACTTTGATACAGTATTGAAAATCATCAATGTTGTCGTAGAATCTGTTAAAAGCTACTACGACAGAGATCAGTATCCACTGAACGTTTCTCTTGAGATGCGATTCATGGCATACAGGTAAAATTCTCTCACTTACTTTCGATTTAATACATGATATTGATAGTTCAAGCAGAACTGAAAATCTATAACACAAAAAATAATGTAATTTGACGATTTCCGTGACCATTTCTCTTAGTGATGCATATCTTGGTACTGGGATACTTGGAAACAAAGCAAAGCCTTATTGTGGATCTGGTCATGTAGTTTGCATTGAAATTCTGAGTTTAAAGGGAACGCCACAGTGGACAGAGTTCAGCAAAGATGTTGGAAGGAAGTGGATGGATCTTGGTGGTGTTCCACATTTAGCAAAGCAATATGACCACATTCCTGGCATTTTTAATCATGTCAGAGAAGTAAGTGTAAAACAAAATATAAATGTACATAGAAAACAAGTATTTGGGACACCTCATCAGTTATCACAACCAGATAGGTATTTAGTAAATGTTTGCATCAGAGTATTAGGCAAGATTAAGTTTGTATGAAAAGGAAATGCCAAGATATTTACTCTAACGATGTACATCAGCAAGGACTGATAACTCTTGAAATTAGCATTTCTACTCATTTTGGTTAGAACACAGGGATGTGTAATATATAGAGTACCTTTTAATTACATGTAGTGTATCCAAAAATCAGACGAAGGGACCCTTCCCCCGAGACGAAGATTCGCTTCAGAAACAATTGCATCATCAATAATTTAAAAACTGTGCTCTAAAAAGAAATGTTGTAACCAAAATTTAGACCTATTATTTAATCACAATTTAATCTGACACTGTGGCATATTTTGAAAAAAAAATTAGCAACATGGACAGGTTACTGGGATTTTTTGCAATTTGCAGAATCCGCAGAAAACCAAATACAGATAAAAAAAATTTTTGAAAGTATGACTGACGCTCGATCTACCGGAAGTAAAAAAATGATCAGAACCTATCATGGATTTCGATATATGTGATATTTTAGACATGATGGAGACTGAGTTGAGTGAGCCAAATTTCACCAGTCCCGAGGTCGAGACAGAGATGAAAAATGATCAAGTGCCTGATGATGAAATTCAGCGTTTGATAGACTCACAAAAATCCTAGCACTCGTAAAAATACCGAATGGTAAATTGAAACGTTCAACAAGTGGCGTGCTGCACGGGACAATGTCTCACTTTTGACTGAGATGAAAAAAAGATTTGTGTTGGAATATAAAAATTAAAACAAGACGGTTCGGAATATTCACATGAGGCTCGTTTCCTGAACTACATTGTGTGTGAATTTTTTTGCACTTCATGAGAGACGAAAACATTTAATACGATCGATTGATTGAATTTGTTTTACGTCCCATTCGAAAATTTTTCACTCGTATAGAGACGTCACCATATACCGATGAAGGGCTTCAAATTTAGACCTTTACTCGGCACTCAGGGCCATTGAGCAGTGAGGGTTCTTTATCGTGTCAACGCCTACAGTGACACGGAGCCTTGGTTTTTTAATGTCTCATCCGAAAGACCGGCAACTTTATCGTCAAAGTGCCGAGCGCTTGGCGAAAGAACAGTTGCAACCTATCTTAAAATTTGATTCGAACACACGACCTTCCGATCATGGAACGAGCCCTCTACCGACTGAGCTACCGTGACGGTCGAGCGAAAAATGTGCTGTGTGAATTCCATTTTGGATTGAAAAAATTGACGTGCAAAATTTAGAATTTTTTTAATGTAAGGAAAGGTATACTTAACTATGTTTACACGAGTTTGTATTTTGCTTGTATAGTTGGCTACTTTGTTTATATTTTTTCATCAATCAATGTAAGGTTAAGGGTCATTGGAATTGTTGCATCATCACCCTGTCGTGTTCTATCTTAATATTTAGAGCATGGTTGTTAGAGAACATCTAGTCAAGGTGTATAAAAAAAAAAAAAAAATAAAAACACAGTGGTCATCAAAGTAAAACCACCACAGAAATGATACAAATGTACGTTACTATTTCTCCTGTAGAATACAGTTAATACTTTTTATACTGTTATTGTCTGACAAAAGTAGCATGGATATTCGTACTTTATTTATTGAATTTAAAGAGATTTTATAAAGTGTTTAGGAAACAAGAAGATAACCGAAGGAATGACAACCTTAAAACGGTCACTTATAAATTAATGCAATTACCTCGAACTTGATATCCAATCTCTTTTTTATTAGAAAAAGACGTTAATGGTAATCTAACAATAAAACTTTATGATAAACGTGATGACTTTGATTTTTCAATCGTCAACTTCCCTTACTTATGCAGCAATATACTCTAAGCACCTGCATATGGGGTTTATATCTCTCAGTTGATTCGATACGCCAGAGCATGCGCTACGTATGAACAATTTCTAAAACGATGTAATGCCCTGTTCACACGGAGAGTTTAATTCGCAGTAAATTGATGTGAAGTAAAATAATGCGAATTAAAATAATGCGAATTAAATTGCGTTCACACGGCAGCTAATGCGAAGTAAACTAATGCGAATTAAAATTTTATTTCTACAGTAAGGCTATTCAGTAAGGCTATTATGACGTCATTTTAAAATCACGTCACCTTATGCGGAGCAGACCCATATGACGTTCTGTCATAGTGTCTATACACATTTCAGTGATTGACATAATTTTTCTTTGTTTTCCACTAAAAATTAGCATAATTACCTATATCTGACCACCGACATGTGGCATGTGACTTAATTGTGCCATTACGCATGCGTCGAAATTTAATTCGAATTAGCTTCGCTTAGCGTTCACACGGAGCTAATGCGAAGTAATTTAATGCGCAGTAAATTAATTCGAATTAAACTAATTCGCATTAAATTCCCCGTGTGAACGCGGTTCAAATTTAATTCGCAGTAACTTACGTTTAATTCGAATTAAACTCTCCGTGTGAACAGGGCATAAGTTATTGACAAACAAATTGATAAAACAAGAATATTAGCAGTCCCGTCTAAAGTCATCATTTCGTAAGTTCTATGGTCGATACAATGACCTTGTCAGCAAATACAATCTACCATTAAGTCACATGCTGACTGACATTTTTCATACTAATTGTTAGGCCATTATTTACACACTTTTTTCTGTTATTTCCCGATCATGACAAGGAGCACACGGCGGGTGTGACCGGTCGGCAGGGGATGCTCACTCCTCCATGGCACCTGATCCCACCTCTAATGCCATAGAGGTCCGTGTTTGCTCTGCTACTATTTTGTATTGTTTAATGGACTTTTGAACTCGAATACTGTTCGTTATCTCCATATATTCCACATATTTCATTCCCACTGGAGGAAATTACATCAATGCTGCAAAATCTACGACTTCCTTGGATGTCGTTGTTGTTGTTGTTTTTTTTAACAATCAACACTTTGTGCATAAAAAAATGGAAGAAAGAAAAGGCAAAATTAGTGCCAAACGAACGGTCATGCAATGATCTATCTAGAATCTCTTGACAACAATTCACGACAATAATATTTTAATTTATAAAAAATATTTTATTTATGAATTTGAGATATCAAACGGTAATGTTTTTCTTTTTTATGTTTAGAAAATGGAATATCCAATTAAATTATTCAAGGAACAGTTGGATAAAAGTGGAGCAGATCCTAATGGAATGTTTCTGAATTCGGGAATGCGTGAACTGTTGGGGCTGAATGAATAGAATAGCGACCCATAGTATGGTTCATATTCAATTTTTGAAAATTAATACTGGATGCGAACATTTTATTTGACTGAGGACGTCCAAAAAAGTTGAAAAATCAAATGACGCCTATTTATAGAGGATTAAGTTCTAAATATTTTTTGCTAATTTTTCCAATTTTGTGATCGAACTGTGAAGTTCGTCGTCTGATGTTCATATATCTGATTGTTATGCACATGCATATATTAACATTACGAATATTTCTATGGAACTACAACAAAATCACAGATCCTCTTTTGATTAAGATATTTCAAATATGTTGAAATGACTTTGTCCTCTCCAAGGGAAGATAATTATAAAATAGTAAACATAAGTAAGGTCATGATAAATTCTGAAAAAAATTCCAAATAAATATGACAGAACATTTATGAAACGTATGTTAAATCATAACCTACGTAGGCCTACAACAGGGGGTAATGTCTTTAATTCTTGGTCCCAATAGGGGTAAAAGTGACGCGTGAATATATTTAGATAACCTTTTCAAAAAATATTAGGACCATAATCAGTGAAATAGTGTAATAGACAATCATCATAGTTTAAAAAAGTTTTTCAATACCATGCTTCCTAAGCTAAAGTAGATCCGAAAAAGGTAGTTTAAGTAAGTTTAACAGCTAAATTTTGCAAGGTTAGAGATATAATAGATATCAGAGTGTCGTGCATGTTAAAATTAATATGGTATAAGATCTTTAAAAACTATCCGACTTGAAAATAGCGATTTCATAATGAAAGAAATTGATATTTACCGTTAGCAATAAGATCTAGTGTAAAGTCTGGTTTGTTCAAATATGATCGACAACACGGATATACAGGTGATGTATAGTTTATAGTAAGTAACAGAACTGAAATTATGATTATTTCATACGTCAAACTTTTGTCAGGACGAGATATTAAGGGGGTTAATCGAAAATTCATCGGGTGAGCGTTGTTTTCTTGATTTAATCGCATGAAAATAAAAGATTCTAAGGCATCAAAATGATTGTTTAGCTCAATTTGATGTCTAAAATTCAACTAAAATTGCACATTAGTTATAGTTTTCGTATGATGTTATTTCCCTTGACCGCCATCTTGGAGGTGAACCTGGTGATTTTTCTTTTTTGTCTTACCAAATTTAAGCGGATGTAGCAGAAATAATTTTAGAAAAATCTTTATAAGATAAGAATGATGAAGTAAAGGAAGATTCAACAAATATATAATCAGAAAAACAATGCTTCCTACCCCGCAATGGCCATTATAAAATGTTAAAGTTGGTTGAAAAATGAAGGAATACCAGCATGTTGACCTCCAACATGGCGACGGAAATAACTCTTGCTAAATTCAAGCCTATCGAAATATCTATAGGTTAATCTATGTAATCATTTGTATTTAAATTGCATGATTTTTGCTTTATCTATATATATATTTTTATATATTTGCTTATATATGTGTGCGAAACTCTTAATATTGTCCCATATTTGACTTCAGTGATCAACAGGAATCGAAAAGATTCGTAAAATATATTTGCAATAGACTCTATTCACGCGTCCGCCATTACAAAACGAAAACGAGGCTGACCTGACAAACAACGTGCTTGACTACGAGAAAAGATGGCGAAGTATATTAATGCTAAGGTTTGCTACCGTACATTTTAATTTAGTGCACTGTTATGTATTATTGTGATCATTGTGCAATTTTTTTATGCTTCGGACCTCGCTCTTTTCCGGTTGCAAACAATGTTTAAAATCTTCCTAATTTGATTTACAGTTCAAAGAGCAAATTTGACAACAGACTTAAATATGAAATAATCATAGACAAAAATCTTTTTTAAACAAAGATTTGGGAATAATGTTAATCTTATATAAAAAAAAAACTGTGTCATTTTCATCCTTTTCTAATTAATATGTCAAGGAAAACATTTTTGTTTTAAATTTGTAAAATGTATACAAAAATATAAATCTGTGCTTTTATAATGACTAATACGATTTTTTAATATTTGATATGTACCACTTGTGCTGTTAAATAATAAACTATGATTAAAAGACCTCTGTCTTATGATATTATTGTATATTTGCAGCTTTATTCCTCATATGTATGTTAGAAAATGAAAACGAGGAATTAGCTGGAATTAAGGATTAAAATTCTAAACAAGTACAGTGTATATTGCTGTTAAGCATACCGTCCATCATCTGCTCTCTCCTGCCTGGCTAGAGAGATAATATGTGTCTCTTGCTGCGATGATGATTTTAACAAAGACATTTAAAAGAACCCTCAAAAAGTTGGAAATATGCTCTTGTTCAGTTTCTCAAAAATAATAAGCATTAACTAGATTAACTTATACCTTAATACATGTTTAGTAAATGTGCTATCGTACGAACTATCTAGTCAATGTGTAACCTTTTGATGTACGACCTAATGAGTATGTGTAGTTTAAGCGCCATATTGAATAAACATGTGCATATGAACTCGGCGTTATATTTAACGAACCAAGCCACCCAAACATGGTGTCAGAAGTGTAGAAGTCGCCAGCATGCCGAAGTTCAACCCCCCAGAAAATTTCGCCTTCACCAGGCCGAATGAATGGCTGGAATGGAAGCAGCGATTCACACGTTTTCAGATCGCGACGAAGCTGACCGACGAGGATGAACAAATAAAGATAAGTTCTCTTATTTACGCCATGGGACCGGAAGCAGAGGGAATATTTAAGTCCTTGGCGTTCTCTAATGGTGATGAGAAGAAGTTCAAGAAGGTTCTTGAAAGTTTTGACAAATATTTTGTTCCAAAGAAAAACGTGATTCATGAGCGCGCCAAATTCCACATCCGGAGCCAGCGCCAGGGAGAGTCAGTTGAGGAATTCTTCCGAAGTTTGCACGAGTTGATGGTGCACTGTGATTTTAGAGATAAGAACGACCAAATTCGTGACAGGTTAGTTGTGGGCATTATCGACAAGGAACTAAGCGAGAAACTACAGCTTGAATCTGAACTTACACTCACAAAAGCTGTCGAGATGGCACGTAATTCAGAGTTAGTGAAACATCAGATTAAAGACTTACAATCTAAGAACTTGGATGCAGTGAGAGTTAGGCAGCAAAATGGCCAATACCCTAAATACAATTACAGCAGACAGCCTAAAGCTAAGGAAAGAGTTTACAATAACTGTGACAAGTGTAATATGAAGCACAATCCTGGAAACTGTCCAGCATCAGGGAAGAAATGCTTAAAATGTGGGAAAAAGGGACACTTTAAGGTAGTTTGTCGAAGTAAACCCAAGCACTTAGAGGAAGTTCAAGATGTATATGTCTGCATGGAAGACTCTGTTTTATAGTATAATTCCAGAAGTGGAATTTCTTCCCTGTTTTGGTAATAGTTTTACAAGGGTTATTTCCAATAGAATTTCAAACCATTTTTGGAAAGATGTTTTTAATGCCCTATATGAATTAAGAATGATTATAGAGACTGACAGTTTGTCTATGTTTGATCCTCTTTGGTATAATGACAATATTAAGATATCAAATAATTTTATATACTATAAACATTGGGCTGATAAAGGTGTAAAATACATAAAAGATTTGTTTCTTCCTGATGGCCAGCCTATGAGTTTTGAAGAATTTTGTGATGTGTATAATTTGTCAACCCCTTTTACATTATTTCACGGTGTCTTACAAAGTGTCAGAAAATTGAATTTAATTTATACTGAAAAGGATGCTTTTTATAATTCTCCTTATTATCCCAATTTCTTCCGAATAATTTTTAAGAGTCAAAAGGGATCAAGAGATTTTTATGACATTTTAATTTCATCTAAATGGGATAAACCCAAATATGAAAGTAAATGGGAAAATGTACTAGATTTGAATGTAAACCAGTTGTGGTGGAAAACCCATAATAAACTGATTTTTAGTATCACTGAAGATGTACAACTTAGATGGTTTCATTATCGAATTGTACATAGAATTATGAGTACTAATGTTTATTTAAAGAAAATAGGAATCGTGGATTCCGATCTGTGTACTTTTTGTGGTACGCATCCTGAGTCTATAACCCACTTGTTTTGGGAATGTTTATATGTTGATATATTATGGAGTAAACTAGTAGAATGGATCAATTATAAAACAGAGCACAATACTGAAATAAACATAATTGATGTTATATTTGGTAGAGAAGGTAAATATCATATTATTTTGAATCTTTTAATATGTATAGTAAAAAGGCATATTTATAAGAAAAGAATTTGTAAGTCACTACCAACCATAGAAGGAGCAAAAAAGGAAATCAATCATTATTATAAAATTGAAAAATTTATGTATAAAAAGAACAATGAATTGGCTTTATTTGAAAAGAGATGGGGTCTTTTTTCTTCACTGTTTTCTAATGTTGGTTAAAAATTGTACTTGTTTAAAACCATTATGTTATTCATTATTTTGATAACTTTTCTGGTAAATACATACACATATTGGATGCATGGGGTGTGAAAGGATTTGTTTACATATTATTTTTTTTTTCCAATGAAAAATTGTCCTGGTTGAATATTAAAATATACAGTGTTTATATTAGTAGTACATTATATGTAGTAGTTTATTTACTATAGTGCCATGTGACTGTCATCATTACTATTGGCTATATTTTATGCTTGTAAGTTTGGTGAGTCCAGGGCTCCCCAACCTTGGCGCCATCCATCGAATCTTATATATCGCTGGGGCAATAAAAAAAAAAAAAAAAAAAAAAAAAAAAAGATGTATGTTCATCATCTGATTCATTTTACATGGGTTCAATTGACCTAAGCCAGTCGGACAACACAGATGCGTGGACGGTAAAGCTGAAGGTGTGTCGAAAGTACATTACATTTAAGATTGACACTGGTGCTGACACATCGGTGATAACCGAAGCGACATACAATTCATTGCCAGTAAAGCTCAAACTGCAGGCTTCAACAAATCAGTTGTACAGCCCAGGAGGGTCAGTAGAGTGTAAAGGGATGTTCGTTGCTAAGA